GGAGATAGCAGCCTTCCCTCCTAGCTTCACCCTTCCTGCCCTACCTCCCTGCCTCCTGCCGTGCTCTGCTTATGAAGCTTGGGAACCAGTTGCATCACCCAGGCCCGGGCCACCCACCACTGGGGAGCCACCGCAGAGGCAGAGATGGGCAAGGGTCACAGTGAGGGACAAAAGGTATGGGGTGACCCTGCTGGATGTTCCCAAAATACAGACATTTCCTTCTCACCAGATAACCCAACAGTTTTCATTTTATAGGCTGGCCCCATTCCTGCTGGTGACAAGAGCCCATGAGTCATTTCCTGCAAGCATGTTTTTATGGTGGTGATGTACAAATGCCTTCTGGTCTGCCTTGGTTATCTGTGATTACTGAGCAACCCCAGGGAGGGTGGTAGGAGGAACCCTGGATTGGGAATCTGGAGCCCATCCTCAATGGTCCCCCAGGTCCTCTGACTGCGAGACCCTCTCCTCACATCCTGGCCCCAGGAGGCCGTTCTTTCTGGCCTGCCCCTGCATCCATCAATTCTGCTTTCTCTGGCCCTCACCCCCTCCCCTCTCCCCATTCCTCATCCACCCCTTCGTTCCTGTTACACAGCAACATAGTCTTCCGGGAATACAGCTCTCTGCCTTGTGTTCCCTCAGCTCAGCAAGGCAAACTTCTACTCCGATGTCAAGCTCCAAATCACACCTTCTCTTCCAGGAAGCATTCCCAGACTGCTCCAGTCATACTTACTCATTGCTTTTCTGTACTCTTCAGAACAGTGTTCACACCTGTCTCATACACTTAGGAAAGCACTGAAAATAATGGCTCAACACTTGCCGATCACTTATGATGTACTACGCAGCATTCTGAATACTTCACAAAGACTGTCTTATTTAATCCTCACTGCAACTCCATGAGAGAGGGACCATTCTTATCCTCATATTACAGAGAATACCACTGAGGATCGGGGATTTAGGTAACCTTCCCAAGGCCACAGAGCTATTTAGTGGCTGACTGGTACCTAGATGAGTGCCTGGCACACAGTAGCTACTCAATCATTATTCACCTTGTGAATGACTAAGTAAGTTAAGAAACATAGACATAATTATGTTTCTATCTCCTGAACCACTCAGAGCCACTTCTTATTTACCTTTCAAGCCATCTCTCCTGTCAGGTGCCTAGTAAGACACAGGGCACTCGAAATGCCTGCTGAATGAATGAACAAAAGAAGAATCGCTTCTCGGCCTTTTGGCCAAGATCAAGTGAATGAACCAAAGAATATTTGAGCAAAACCAATCAACAGCACCGAAATCCTGTCAATGCCACCTGCTAGCTTCACATAAATAACTTCAGGGTCCTGGGTCCCCGTGTATGTCACCTGTCAAATGTAGAGATTGTACACAACATTCTCTCAAGTCCCTTCTGGTATTGGGTACATATAAAATAAAAGACCAGACTCAACAATTTTGCAATGATGGCAATTTCCATACTAAACTTTGTATTTTTTTTTCCCTCCCGGGCTATTTTCCCCAGGAACATTCCATAGGTGGACGTGACATTTGATCTGGGTCCTGCCATAATGCAGAGCCAATAATAGTCCAAAAAGAGTTAATTCGGCTCAATCCTTGGTTCACTCTATCCTTATCCAAACAAGTCACACCCAGAGAAAGAATGATTAAGTGCCTGACAAAACCCTCATAACTAATCATCAATAATAAACAATGATCCCAAGTGAGATTGTGCAAGTTAGATTAAAGCCACTGCTCTAACAACTCTGTCTGATTTTCTCCCGGTCTCCTGGCAACTCCACCAGAGACTTTCTTCTCCAAACAGATCCTGGTCCATCTCTCCCAACCCCCACTGCCAACACACACACACACACACACACACACACACACACACACACACACCACTCACTGCTGGAATAGAGACAGCAGCACAATGCTGAGCACATGGTAGCTGCTGATAAATGCTTGTGAAATGCTGAAGCCCAGATCCACTCCAGATGGTGCTCAGATGTGTCCACATCCGTGGAAAGGTGGGGCTTCTGGCTAAATTTCATGAATTTCTACTCTAATTGTGGCCTGACCAGGAGCTTGGCTGTATGCCTAGTACCTGACACAGCTGTGTTCTACGGCTCAGCATTAATGATCACCCATGTGCATGCTAATACCCAGCATTTCTTGTCCGGCTGATGCTCAGCATAAACCTCTACACCCAAGGATACCTAAGTGGGGTGTGTGAGCGAGACAGTGTCTGTTCATGTCAGGAGAGGGAGGAGCCACGTTCTGTGTTTTGTTTGACTCACAACAAGGAGGATATAAACTCTATGCTCTTAGAGCAGGGCATTACCCATCCACATGAATCCAGTATGGAGAGAGACTATACCATAACCAGAATGCAAATAAATAGTCACTACGGAAGACACCTGTTATTTATCTGTCTCACACCTCTATGACCTTAGGAACCTGCGCCTCCCTCATATCAATCATGTGATACTTGAAAGGGCCACCAAAGACAGTAGCTGTTTCCCTCAGTTTGGGCACAATAATTGGTCCAGAGATGGGCCAATCAGAATCCTTCCCTGAGATTGTAATCAGCATTAGGCAGGAGGACAGAGAATCTAGTCTTTGGGTCACACACCTATAAAGATATGAACTACAGGCCACCAACATGGAGAAAATGTGTTTGTAGGAGGGAAGAATGGAGCCAACATAGAGCAAAACATCCAAGGGATACATGGAAGGATAGAGGATGGGAAAGACTTTGAGTGTCTGGACCTCCCTGTTTATACAAGTTAATGATTTCCCTTTTTGTTTAGGTTTGAGTTGGGTTTCTGAAGTGTGCAGCTCAAGTGACCTCACACAGTCACAGCCATACTTAGAGCACATTTTCTTTTTTTTTTTTTTTTTTATAATTCAAAAAAAAATTTTTAATGTTTATTTTTGAGAGAGAGAGACAGACAGACAGACAGACAGACAGAGCATGAGTGGGGGAGGGCCAGAGAGACAGGGAGACACAGAATCCGAAGCGGACTCCAGGCTCTGAGCTGTCAGCACAGAGCCCAATGCAGGGCTCGAACCCACAAACCGTGAGATCATGACCTGAGCCAACGTCAGACAGTCAACCCACTGAGCCGCCCAGGTGCCCCTAGAGCACATTTTCAAAGGTGTCTTCCACACTTCAGGATCTAGGTCATCTGGCTACCACACATCTAAAATGTCTGTGTTCCTCCTCCCACAAGGTATAAAATTCTGAGCAAGATACACTCTCACCCAGCATCACTGACTACAGATGTTAGTGCTTTCCCTTTGTACCTCAGGCCCCAGGGGTGACCTGCCAACCACAAGAGTCCACAAGGACTCTTCTCGTTCCACCCATCAAACCTTGTAAAATAGGGGCCGGCCAGACAGGCTAGGCAACCAACCAGTGATTTCTGAAAAATGCCCAACATCCTGGCGGTCAAGTCTCCATCCCATGCCCCTGCTGGCTCACTCTGTCTGAAGGTCTGTCTTCAGATCTCCAAGAGAGTCCCCTCAACAGCTAGAAACTCGTGAGTGCATGAGGCCACCACATTTCCTAATAAAATAAGGCCTCTAAAAATCTCCCTGAGCAAACATCTTGCAGCTCGGTCACCTGGCCTCTCTGGGACCTTTCTAAAAGAACGCCGCCAAATGTACCTACTGAAAAGGGTGATGCTTTGAAAACAAACAGTTCCCCCCTCTCTGTGTCTGAAGAGCCTCCCAGAGCCATGAAGTTACAGCAGCTAGGCCCGGGTGCTGCCTCGGATACCAGTTACACCCCTTGCTCTCGTTTTTCTTTAAAGCTTTCATCTTCTCTGCACAGGGCTGAAGCTTGGTGGGTTACGGGCAGACACCGCCTGGATGGCGAGAGCTCTGGGCTGGAGTGCTGGCCTGGTGCAATGCTCTTCTTATGCCCCATAAAGTCAGCGTGCCCCAGACCTGGAGGAGCTCTGGCAGCCGTGTCCCCAGGGACAGGAGAAAGCAGCCGTCTCCCACGGTACACTCAACAGCTCCTCATCACCAAAACAAAAACACAACACTCCTGATCGCCATGGAGAGTTCAATCCTCTTGTCTGGGATTGGCACCGACTAAAATTCCAAGGGCTCTGGCTGAACCACCTCCTGTGAGGTCTAAATTCAGCATGCTCACTTTTAACCTAAACATACGGCCTGGACCACTGCCCAGGGCTGACAGCCCCCAGGGGCCAGCCGGGAAGTCATGACTTCCGGCTGCCCATTCGGCAATGGGCACTGCGGTGCTAGAAGAGAGGTGATGCGCTTCCTAGGCCATGTTCACCGAGGTTGCCTATGGCCAAACGATGGGGGAAGTAACCAGCTGTGGAGGGTTAACTGCACGTGAGATCCTGAGCACAGAAATGCATCCTGGGGAAGAGGGCAGGAAGGCAGTAGAGAAAGAGAGAGGGAGGAAAAGGCAGTAAGGACCAAAGACCTATTTCTTAGCCAATTAAAGTCAAGGGATCTTTCTACAATGTTGGCTCCCAGGGGAGTGGAATTTAGGACACAATCTCTAGAATCAGACAGACCAAGGTCGCCTTCTTGTTGTGTGATCTTGGGGAAGATAATGGACTCTTGGTTTCCATAGCTCTAAAATGACCCAAAGGACCATGTAGTGTTCATTGGGACCACGTTTATAAAGTGCCCGGCACAAAAAAGTTGCTCAATAAATAGTAACTACTAGAAGCAGTAGTGGAAATGGTAATAGTAGAAGGAGGATAATGCCAGGCATGCCTTTATTCCGTCTGCTTTGGAGAGGGCACAAGAAGAGAAGCTGAGGCCACCATGATAAGACACGAGCTCCCACCCAGGATAAGCTGTGCAGGTACAAAAGAAACCTTGAACCGAGCAAACTGAGAATACACACCCATGCCTCTTAGGAACCTCAGGATGGCAAGACGGCAACAGCTTCCTGACCTCCCAACGAGCCAACCCACACACCCCACTCGGGTAAGAGGTGTCCGCCCAGGGTGTTTCCTTACCTTGGTGTTCATACAAGACTTCCCTCGCTTATACTCTTTGTGGGATCCACGCTTGTCCAATTTGTACCACAGGGCTTTGGCCTTCCAGGTGGTCACCTTGGACTTGAGCTTGGAATAAAAGTTTCTGTGGTCCAGAGGGTCTAGGTCCAGGTGTCGCGTGAGGATGTTGAAGGCCTGGAGGGTGCCTTTGCACGTAGAAGCCTGGACAAAGTTCTCGAAAACCTGCCCGGCCTGGGTCTGCTTCTCGTCCTCGTTTTCCCCCATGTTTTAGGAGCCGTGTAGAGCAGTGGTGAGGAGAGGATGCAGGAGAACACCATCAAGTACCTAGAGAAATGTCACACCTGCAAAGGTAGGTGGAGGCAGAGGTGAGCTCTGTGGCAATGAGGACAGGGTAGGGGGGATGGGTGCCGAGAGGGAAAAATAAAATTCCTTTAAGATGTTAAACACCCTAAGCGTAATAATGAGTGCTAAACATAAATCATCTATAGAAGACGTACAATCATATCTTCTGACCCGGCCATGCTGTCTTGCTGGCAATCTCTGCCTCCCCACCAACACCCCACTCCCCTCACTGGCTAAAAAGAAATACATACAAACTGTTCAAAGATACACCCTGGCTGATGTCAGCATTACCTGGTCGATCTTGCTATGAGCCAGATACTGTAGTTCTAGAAATAATAACTAGTAAAAGGTTGGGGGGGGGGGACAGAAAAGCACAACAGATTTAGCTAGCACCACCAAAAACATCTAATTCGTGGTGCTGCAAATTAGATGACTAATATTAGTGTAATCTAGCCACATGACAGTAGAGCACAGAGCAAAAAATTCAAAGCACACACCTCCCTAGATTTCATGACCTTCCCACCTGTCCTTAGACACCAAACTTTAAAGTCTTCCTTCGTTTAGTCACCAGAGGTCTTTCCCCTACATAGGGGACAGACAGCAACTTCTCAAAATTTCTCTCTACTGCCAGTACCTGCTGGAAGCACGGGATCTACCTGGGTCAGACATACAGAAAGTCACAGATGCACGTGGGTCTCCTCCCGATGGACAAAAGGAGTCTGTGCTTTGTGAGCCCAAGCTGTGAGCTGTTTGGAACAAGTGCATAGGCTGATGGAAGGAAAAACGCGATGGGTATTCATTCACATCACGAAAATAGCTCGCCGGGGTTTTGGCCATCAGCCTTTCCCTGTGCACCACTCTAACCTCAGGCATTTCTTTGGAAAGTCATTTAAGTTTCAAAGGAACAAAAATAAGTTAGGGCTGATTTTCCAAAGCAATAGCTGTTTTTCCAGAATCCAAAGCTAGTGCAAGACGACAAGCGTCGAGGAACTAGGGCCGGCCCAGCTGTCACGAGGGCTCGAGAGGGTCTGTAAACAAGAGAATACAGCATACCAAGGTCCCCCAGACAGAGGCCTGGCAGGAGGAGGTCGGCAAACACACAGACAAGGCCCTTGGGCTGGGCGGCTTCCCATTCTAGACAGAAATGCCATTGTGGGTGCATGTGGATTGTGGGCTGGCCTTATAATATTAAAAGCAGAGAATGGTGTTTGTCTTCTTCCTTAATCCTTTACTCATTCATTCAGCAACAATTACTGGTGCCTAAGCAGAAGCCATGGGTTGCCCTAGGTGCTGGGGATGCAGAGATGGGGCCTAGTGAGGAAGACAGGTGCATAAAGAGTTGGTTATAAGACAACAGGCAAGTGGTCTTAGAATACGAACTCAGTGCATGGAAGCCAGATCAGGAGGTGTCCAACGGAGCCTAGAGGTAGCCAGAGGAGCCATGGGGGCAAAATGTCCAAAATGCTACAAGTTTAGGAACAAGGTGAATTTCATTAGAACACCAGGGAGTAGATGCTCTCAGGCAAAGGAAATACCATACAGGCTTGAATTTGGAAAGAGCCAGTACAGCTGCAGAATGACAGCAAGGTCAAGGTGTCCGGAGTTCAGAACTCGTGACGAGGGGTAGGGGCATCCAGGGCAGATCATGGAGGGGGCCTGCTCCTCCCACAGGCTGTGAGGTGCAAAGACAGAGCAGCGGGCTGAGAGGAGTCTCTGGGAAGAGGAGATGGTGGGGAGGCACAGGAGATGGAGGCAGCGAGGACCAAAGCAGCTGGGAGAGCCCCGGGAGACAGAAGCACATGCATGACGGCAGCCTGGTGGGTACCATCTGTAGGGGGCAGCCTGCCGGGGGCAGACACCCAGACACTGCCGGCCAAGAGGGCACTGGCAACAGCATGGGACCCCACCCCCACCCCCCACCCCCCACGCCCATTCTGCCCCCAGGAGCCTCCAACGTGCTTGGCACCGTGCTCGGCTGAAGGCACATTCCCCACTCCAGGCCTAGCCAAGTTCCATTTTGTGCCAGGCCCCTCTCCTCTGCGAGCACTGACCTGGCCGCTCTGTTCTCCGCAGCCCAACCAAGTCCGCAGACGTGGAGAGCTGGCCCTGTGCTTTGCCAGATGCTGCTAAGTCACAGATTCCCTCCCAGATGCTCTCTCGGCTCCTGTGACATCTGCAGTGCTCAATTTTGGCACCGCTCACATAAACACAGCCTCCTCCTGCTTCAGCTCTGCCCCAGGTACAAGACTCGCCACCAAGATGGCTAAACAGACAGCAAGACTCCTTTGCTTTTCAGAGCGAGTGAACACTTTGTTTCTCTCTATCCTTGGATTCACTTTTCTGCCCAGCGCCGAACGAAGGATGTGGCAGCGGACGGACAAATACGAAACCCCTTGAATTCAGCCAGTATCTTGCAGTCCTTTCTGGGGCTGGGCAGGCAGTGCAGAGAAAACTACAGGCTTTAAGGCCATCAGAGCCCAAGTCCAAAGCTCAGCTTGGCCCCTGGCTGCCCTCGTGGCCTCACACAAGCCACGTAAGCTCTGAGCCTCAGTTTCTTCTTTTGTAAGAGACGTGACAGTCTCCACCTTGCAGGGTTGCTGCGGAGGGTGAGATATGTGTGTGAAGGCAGAGCTGGTCCCGGGCGGTTCTCGGCCAATGTGGAGACATGTGCCACATCCCTCACAGCGGGCAGATTTGTGTCTGGGGAACGTACCGGTTTGAAAAATACTTTTGCAAGATGGATTCTCCAAGTTTCCAACTCCTCCTTGCCTAGAATGATGCTGAACCTGACTCCCCGAGAATAATTTACAAACTGGAAGAACCTGTCTCCTTCCAACACCAGCTGCCTCCCTTCCTTCCCCCCACCCCCCCGAAAGAGAAATGAACATTTCAGGGCTCCAGTGGAGAGCTGAAGGTGGTACAGAGGGCACTGGGTGGGTGTAGGGGCTCCAGGAATGCACTGCTATCTAGAAAGAGGTTCAGAGGGGTGGAGAGAGCTGGCAGGACGGCAGACAGAGCTGCCTTGAACTGTACCTTAGCAGCTCGCACAAGGCTTAGACCTGCATCCCTGGGTCTGAAGGGTCTGGTCTCAGCCTGTAAAATCAGCTTTCCCACTGAAGTCAAAGACCTTAAAAATGACTCTAACACCCATGTGGGGTAGGTTTCCTCAGGAAGAGCCTCAGAGGGGTTAGAGTCTGGCAGATGGCAGCGTGCACCTCGTCTCGCGCACCTGCTAGGCGCACCTGATCTAGCGTATCTCTCAGCCCGTTTTCTCATCTATAAGAGGAGATCATCACACCCACTCCATAGGCTTGCAAGGAAGAAATTCAGTCATGTATGTGATGTATTTAGCACCCAGCAGCTACATGATAACCAGCATTCATTACTATTCTTCAAATGGTGCAAAGGTCATCAAACCAGAAGGAAGGGACTAGCTTCCCGGGTCAAGGAATTATATACGTTATAAAACTAGAAGCCATGGGCTTTCAATTCAGAATATATGGTTCAAATCTACTTTGTAGTTATGGAGGCTTGGACAACTCACTTTAACTTCTGAGATTTAAGTTTCCCCAAATATAAATTGGGGAACAAGGAAGTTTCAGTAATGAACTGAAAGCATCCTTGGTACGAGGTAGTTCTGTTAATGAACTAGAAAGGCTGACTTAGGAGAACTCTTTGAGTCCGCATTCCAAGCCCCTTCTTCCAGAGACTGGTGTGTAATTTTTTTGGTGGATACCCTTTCTCCTTCCCCAAAAGAAAATCAAGGATTAGTTAAATCAGAGGATCCTGGGTAAAAGCTCTTGTTAAAATTTTCCTTGTCAACCACTCCCCAGCTGTTGCTTTTTAGAGTTTGATACGAAATATAAATAAAACCAACTACCCAGAAATATGAAAGGTTTCTGCATTTTCTGGGAAGAAACAGGACGTGATGCTTTAGTTTCTAAGAATAGCCTTGAAGCAATTTGGTTTTTGCCAACTGGAGTCCCTTATTTGTGGTTCTGCCTGTGTGACTTCATAAGTCACAAAACAACCCCATTTCCCTGTCTCTGGCTGCTACAAATTAAAACTCAGGGGCTCCAGGGGCACATGGGTGGCTCAGTCTGTTAAGAGTCTGACTGCTGGGGCACCTGGGTGGCTCAGTCGGTTGGGCGGCCGACTTCG